GGCTACTACCTCATCGTCTACTACGTGCACATCCTGTGGAACGTGGTCAACCCCACCATGGACTCCACGAGGGTCTACAACGGTGGGGCCGATGCCGCCTCCACTCTGCTCGGTACGCCCACCCGCCCCGCCCGCCCCGCCGCCCCCGAGGCCAGTCGTGACGCGCTCGTCTCCCCGCACAGGTGCCATCACCTCCTTTGCGGCGGGCTTCGTGAAGATCCGCTGGGCGGTGTGGGCGAAGCTGGTCATCGCGGTGGTGACTGTGGTGCAGGCTGGGCTGGTCTTCCTCATGTACAGGACAGACAGCATCTGGCTGTGCTACATGGCCTTCGTGCTCTTCCGCGGTTCCTACCAGTTCCTGGTGCCCATCGCCACGTGAGTTGGGCGTGCGGGCGGCCATGCGGGTGGCCGTGCGAGGGCCTGGGGCCTGGCCGAGTGAGAGCAGATGGAGGTCGTGTGCTGTGTGTATCCAGAGGCCTCCTTCCAGAAGGTTCCGGGGGAGCAGCAGGAGCGTGTGCTGGGCAGTGTGGAGCGGCGTCTGGTGTGGTCCCAGTCAGCCGGGAGGAGCGTGAACCCTGGGCGCCCTTAGCCAGGGAGCCACTTGTCCACAGCACCTCCTGTCCCAGCCACTGTAACCTCACGGCTAGACAAGGAGCCCGGTCCGTGTGGATGTCCCCTGTTCTCCCCCCGAGCCACTCACTGTCCACAGGGACCAGACTTCGGGAAGCCCTTCCTCCCAGCCTCCGGGCCCTGCATCTGAGTTCCCATCTCAGGTAGCCCTGTGGCCATTTTGAGCCTGTCCACTCCCACTCTGGGCATGGTGGCTCATGCCCAGGAGTGACCGGGTGACCCAGCTGGCCTTCTGCCCAGGGTGGCTCTTCCCCTGGTGCCCTTGCATTCCTCATGCCCCTGGGGGCACTCCTGCACCCACCCAGGGACGTCCCAAGAGCTGCCCGCTGACCTGTCTGTGCCTTCCAGAACCTTCCTCAGCCCACGTCCAGCTGACTCCTGCCCTCTGTGTGACTCTCTGAACCAGACCTCTCAGAAAGCTGCACACGCATGCTTCACGTGTTCACACCACACGCGTGTGTTTATCCCTCACACGTGTGTTTATCCCTCACACGTGTTCATGTGCAGTCATGGACACAGCATACACGCTCACACTGCTAGCTCCTGGCAGGTGGCCTGACTCCCTTGTGTGGCCTGGCCTTCCATCCTCCCCTCCTGTCCACCCTTCCCCCGGCTTTCTCAGCCTGTGCATGTCCTGGAAAGCACTTCCTTTGGTCGCTCACTCCCCTCTCCTGTCATGTCAGCCTTGTGGGAGGGGCGCCAGGACCCCAGGTGTTCCACTCCCTTCTCTCAGGACCACCTAGTGTCCTGACTCCTGTTAACTGTAAGCACCGTAGGTGTGCGTGGTGGAAAGATCAGACAATGCAGGAAAGGTCAAGTCGGATACAGAAGAGATCAAATGGGACACAGAAAGGCGTAAAGAGGACGCGTCCTCCTCAGACCCGGGTCCTGACGCTGACACGTGGGGGTCACTCTGCACCCCTGCCCCGCACGTAGCCGCGTGGCTCCGTCCGGAGCGCGTGCGTAGTTGGGCCTCTTGGTGATGGACCTGCCCTGATAGTTTCCTAGGACAGACGACACTGAAGCCACTTCCTCTCACCTACATTTTCCTTCCCAAATTCTGATAATGGCCTCAGGCAGGTCCTAGCAGGTATTGGTGAGGTTAAAGGGCATGCGCTTTAGAAGGAGGGTGGCAGAGATGTCGCAGGTGCCCGCCTGGCCAGTGCGCAGCCCCGGCGGGTGTCGGAGGGTGGCCGGGGCCAGTCGTCTTTCCCTAGTGACGGCAGGGCTGGCTCCCCGCTGGTGTCGTGGCCAGTTTGTGTCTGTGGGTTCTTCTTCTGCTGGGATTCCTTTTTTCCCTGTTTATCTGCAGTGTGCTTATCTCCATATGTGATAGGAGCTTCTGTCACAGACGTGACCCAGTTACTGTGCCCTCAGTCCCACTTCCGGGCTGGAGGAGCACCATCTGAAACCACCTGTGGGTGGCATGGCGTTCTGCCTGTGCCGGCGGGACCTGGCCCGGCTCCAGCTTCCCAGCAGTGAATCTGTCGTCGGGGCCCCTGACCCGCTCTCTTCTCACCATCCGTGTGTCTGTCTGTGACCCTCATCCTGCCTTCTCGTGTATTTCTTGGCCCCCCCCCGCCCTCTCCACCCCAGCAGAAGCTCCTTGGCCTCGGTCGTTCTCTTTAAGGACTTCCTTGGGTATTTTTGTTCGGTTTTGTTTTCAGAACTTTAGAACATTTCTTGTCCGCTTTGTTTTCTCAGGCACTCTGGGGATTCTAATTCGAAGTATGTTCAAATGTTAATTTCTTTGCTGAGGACTGGAAGCTCTGAGCATATTAATTCCTCCGGCTTTCCTTCTTTGTTTTCCTGTTCTTTCCCTAATTGACTGAATCATTTAACGACCAAGGACTTTGAGTTTTCCTTGTGCTCTGTCTGTGCCTGGGTTCTGCTGGTATCTCGCTCCCACGAGGGTGATTTTCTGAGACCTCTATACTGATTATGACTTACTCCGTCCCACAGTTACTAGAGGACTTTACCCGTCTTCCCAAGGTCGCATTTTGGACTTGGTTTGTGAGTTGTTGTGGGAGAGGTGCCCAGCTGATCTAGCCAGTCACCTGCAGCCTCAGCAAGCTGGCTGATCACTGGACCACACGGCAGTTCTCGCAGCCACTGGCGGCTCGGGAGTGCCTCTCCGAGCTGGGTTCCTCTGCGCCTGAGGTCGGTCTTGCCCCTCACTGGGCTGGACCCCTGACCACGGCCTACTCTTCCTGTCCAGTTTTCAGATCGCGTCTTCTCTTTCTCACGAGCTCCGTGCCCTGGTCTTCGGAGTCAACACATTCCTCGCCACCGTTCTCAAGACCATCATCACCCTCATCATCTCGGACAAGCGGGGCCTGGGCCTCCCGGTCCACTCTCAGGTGAGCCCCGGTGTCGGGCTCACTTCCTCCAGGCGGGCAGCCTCTGGGGGGATGTCCTGGCCTGGCCTCTAGGGGCCCACCCAGCCAGGGGTGTTGCCTCTCCCCGGCACCCAGACCACAAATCTGCTGCAGGCTGGGCATCTCCAGCCGGACCCTCTGGCCTGAGTGGGAGCAGGAGCAGGAAGGGAGAAGCCCCAAGCAGGGAGGGAAAGGTCAGGGGCAGGGGCCACAATCTGGCTGCTGCAGTGCCGGCCTGTGCGGCTGCTGCCTGGGTCCAGGCAGGACATGGTCGAGTTCAGTTAGGACGCCGGGGCCTCCGAGGCTGGCCCAGGGCAGGTCCCTCGGCAGGCGTGCTCACTGGCCCTGGGTGTCCCCCACACGGGCTGGCATCCCGCCGTGCTGCCCCAGCCCATGTCCTCGTGCCAGGCCTCTGCCTGGGATGGGCCCTGGTGCTCGTGACTGCCGTTTGTCTCCTCTGTGGAGGGCCGGCGAGGGTGGAGCTGGCGAGGCTGGTGTTGGCGTGTGTGGCCCCTTTCCAGGCCCCTCGTCTGACCCTGGGCAGGTTCTCTGCCTTCTGGAGAGTTTGAGAATTCCTGTCTGCCGTGAGACTGGGGGGCACTCACTGTGTGACTCCGGGTGGCTCCAGCCAAGGCAGGACCTCTCGGAGTGCGCTGGAATTTGCCAGCGGACAGGCCCACAGCAGGGCGGGGCCCGGACTCCCCAGGGGCCATGCTGCCCCGCCCTCCGCTGTGGGCGCGGCCTCCTCTGCTGGGAGCCTGGGCCTCACAGGGGCTCAGTCGACCGCGTGGAGAAGTCCTGGCCTCTGTCCAAGGGTCCCTGCCCTGATGGCCCTAAGCTGGCCAGAAGGGGCGTTCTGAGCAGGAGAGACTCTTGCTTGGAGCCAGCTCCCGGGGCAGGGTTTAGAGGTGCCTTTCAGGGAGAAGCCTTGCAGCCTCTGGCCCTCTGTCCATGCAGGCAGGCAGGTCCTGGCTCTGCTTCTCCAGGCTCACCGCCCCCAGTCCCCAGGCCGGAACCGGGGAGTGTCCAACCAAGCAGGGTGGGCAGAGCGCCCCGTGGCCACGTGGGCTCGGGCCACGGTTGCGTGTGCAGCTGCGCCTGTGGGGCAGGGGCTGTCCTGAGGGCACGGCCCTGCTGTCCAGGGACGGTGGGTTGGAGTCTCCCTCACAGGGGAGAACGTGCCCTGGCCAGTGGGGCCTGGCCTGGCCGCTGTCCGGCACACCAGGGGCCTCCCTTCCCTGGGGCCCCCAGTTGTCCGGGCTCTGGGCCCTGGGGATCCGAGAGGCCCAGGGCTGGGGAGGGTCTGGAGAGCTCTTCCCCACGGCCTGGGCTTCCTTGCCTCCTGTCCCTGGCCCTCGCCACATGGCTGCTTCCGGCCACATCAGGTCAGGCTGACGGCAGTAGATTGATTTTTCTCTGGCTGGTTCGGTTTCCCAGTTAAAAGGTAACTCCAGAAGTTTGTTTGTAGTTGGAAATGCTGGCGGCACCAGAAGGAAGGGTCGTCTCGCTGACCTTCCCTTGTGCAGAGCTGTGCGTGTCCCTGTCCCTCCATCCTCAGGGGTGAGAACGGGGCAGGTGTTCAGACCTGGCGACTGGTGGGGACTGGGACGGAGCATGTGGGGAACTGGCCTGGGCGGCTAAGCTTTATTTTTGGATCATGATAGGCTCACTGGCAGTGTGACCATGGCCACGCCCTGCACTTCCCTGGTGTGAGCACTGCCGTCCCTCCTCCCAGGGCCGCTCAGGCTCCTGTCCGTGGCCGCACCTGACCCACCCCGCGTCCTCCGGGCCCCGTCTCTGTGGTGGTCTCATCTCAAGTGCGGCGTCCGAGGATCCTGCAGTGGGTGGCTTCGGGGCTGCCCGTTGCCCGCTCCCCTCGGGGTGCACGGCGCACGCCCACCCCGTCTCGGTGCTGCCGGGCTGGTTTACCGCTCCCTGCAAACAGCTCTGGGTCGGGGCTGGGAGGGTAGAGCCGCTCCTCACGCTTGCTTGTGGCTTCTGTGAGAGCCTAGGTCTCCGTGCGGCCAGACGCCCGGCGTGCAGGCGCGGGCTCCCACGGTGGCTGCCCGTGTTTTCAGGCCCTGCGGACTGTTTTGCAGGGCAGCTGCCCCGTCGCGCACGTTCTCGTCCGTGTTGGGCGTTGTTGGGTTTCTGCTGAGCAGTTCGGGAAGCTGTGGGGAGATGTTTCCTGTGGTTTTAGGTTGCTCTTTCCTGGGGCCCCCCCCGCTGCCGCCGGTCCTTTCTCTTGGGTGAAGTGTTTCTTCACTTCCCTGCCGTTTCCCAGTTGGGTCCTTTTTTCTCGCGCGACTTTTGTTCCCTGTTTGTGTGTTCCGCATGCGAGTCCTTTGTTGGGTGTGTGGTTTGCAGACGGTTTCTCCCATCCGTAGTCGGTCCGTCCTCACGGTCGTCTGTGCAGCAGCTTTAATTTGAGGAGGTCGGAGTTACTCGTTCTCCCTCTTTGGGAGCTCAGTTTTGGTGTCGCACTTGGTGACTCTTTGCCTGGCCCCGGGTCCCACACGCTTTCCCTTAGTTTCTCTGCCAAAGTCGTGTAGTGTCACATTTAAGCCTGTGACCGCTTTTAGGTTCACTTTTGCGCAAGGTGTGAAGTCTGCGTCCGGTTTCATCCTTGGTGGGTGTCCAGTGCCTGCGGCGCCGTCTGTTGAAAAGCCCGGTGCTTTCCCACCGCTTGTGCGCGCCTGTTCCTGGCTGCCCACTACCCTGCTCCGCTGAGCGGGGGGCCCGCCCTGTGCCCCCCGGCCCCCCTGCTGGGGGGAGGGGCTCAGCCCTGAGACCGGGTGCCCGGGTTCTCCAGCTTTTACATTCCTTTTTCAAAATCATCTCAGTTGCTGTCGTTTCTTTGCCTTTTCCTGTAAGTTTTAGAGCCATCTCGCCTGCAGACTTCCTTGCTGGGGCTTTGCTCGGAACCTCACTGAGCCTGCGTCAGTTTGGGGAGGGTGCTGCGCTGAGTGCCCCAGCCTGTGGCTGTGGTGTGCCTCTCCACTTGCTCGGAGCCTCCTCGGTTTCTTTCAGCATCTTGTAGTTTTTCATGTGCAAACACTGTAGTGCTGTGCGTGTTTTGTTAGATTTATACTTGAGTGTTGTTTTTTGAGCAATTGTAAATGGCATGGTTTTAATTTTGAGCTCTGTGTGCTGGAGCTGCCATGACAAAATGCCAGCCTGGGCGGCTCAAACAGCAGCATTTACTGTCTGACAGTCGGGAGGCTGGAAGTCAGAGGTCAAGGTGTGGGCAGGCCTCGTCCCTCCTGAGAACCTCCTCCTCAGCATGCCGGCCGCCGTCCCCTCCCTGTGCCCTCGTGTGGCCTTTCCCTTGTGCGCACGGGCACTCCTGGTGTCTCTCTCTCATAGGGACACCAGTCCTCCCGGATCAGGTCCCACCCTTATGACATCATTTGACTGCCTGTTTGCAAGCACAGTGGGGGCTGGGGTTCCAGCAGGCTAATTTGAGAGTCACAGTTCAGCTCACAACAGTGTCCAAATGCTCACTCTAACGTGTGCAGGCCTCACTCTTGCACTGTTTTGCAGACATTGCGTTTTTACAAATTGAAGATTTGTGGCAACGCTGCATCATCAGATGATGGTTAGCTTTTTTTAGCAATTAAATATTTTTTATTGAAATATGTGCATTGTTTTTAGACGTAATGGTATTGCACACTTAGTAGACTATAGAGCAGTGTGCGCACAGCTCTCACGTGCCCCGGGAAACCAGTCTGTGTGCCTTGCTTCATCGCAGCGTCTGCTCTGTCGCCGTGGCCTGGACCTGGGCCTGCAGCGCCTCTGACGCCTGCTTGCGTCGGACGTGCTTTGGAGCCTGCGTCTTTTCTCGCATGATCTTGTTGAGGTCACACCGGTCACTTCTAGGAGGTCTCTTCTGAGTGCCCTTCATGTGTTTTTCTTGCCTGACTGTGCTGGCTCGAACTTCAGTTGTTTCCTTTCCTCTGCTCGCTTTGGATTTGCTCCACTCATCTTTTTCTAGCTGAGACCAATGCCTTGCGACGCCGTCCCGTCTGATACGTGTGTTTCGTTGCCGTTCACGTCCCTCCCAGCCTGGCTGAGCTGCAGCCTCCAGATTTTGATACGCTGCGTTTCACTTCCGCTCACTCAGCGTGTTTTCCCCTCCCTCCACACTTTCTCTTTGGCCTGTGGTGGTTGCGCAGTGGGCTGCGTGGTTCCAGGTGCTTCCACGTCTCCCTGTGATCCTGCTGTTCCTGACTTCTGCTTTGCGACCAGAGAACAGTCTGTGATTTCAGTCCTTTTCATTTGTGGGGGTTTGCCTCGGGGCCCAGGATGTGCTCTGTCCTGTTACGTGCTCCGTGGGCACTTGAAGACTGGGAACCGCTGATGCGGGCGGCATGCCCTGAAGCTGCTCGGACCCTGCTGCTGGGGGCGCGGTGGTTTGCTCTCTGTCCCCGTGGGTTTTCGTCTGGTCCACTGCTGAGAGGCGGGTACTGACTTTTGCATTTACTGTCGGGAACTTGTCTGTGTCTCCTTGCAGCTCCGTCACGGTTTTGCTTCGCATTTTCGCAGCTCTGTTTGCTGCGTGCACACGCGGCATTGCCGCGTGCCTTGCTGGATGGGGCTCTGCCTGCGGGTGTTCCTTCTCTGTGAAATCTGCCTGATGCTAATATAGCCGGTCTGCTCTCCTTTGATTAATGTTTACACGATGGGTCCTCTTCCATCCTTTCACTTTGAGCCTAACTATATTGTTGTATTTGAAATGAGCTTCTTGCAGACAGCATACGGTCGCCGTGTTTTTTAATCCACTCTGCTAATCTGTTATATAAGGTTTATTTAGACCACTGATATTTAGTGTGATCATTAATGTGTTAGAACTTATGTCTGCCGTTTCATTTTTTGTTTTCCCTTTATTGCCTCTACTTTTGTTTCTGTGTGTGCGTGCGCGCATGTATGTGTGTGCGTCTTTCTCTAGGTTATTTACACATTCTTCAGGGTTTCGTTTTGGTTTCTGCGTTGTGTTTTTGAGTGTATCTCTTGGAATCGCTTTTTTGGTGGTTGCCTTCCGTGTTAAATGGCTAGTTGGAGTGCAGAATTGAGGTCTCACCTTCGTGTCACTTTCCCCTCCAGGGTTCATAGTCCGAGTGTCTTACTTCCTCCACGTGCCGTCAGAGCCACCTGAGGCGAGGCTGCAAGCTTTGCTTCAGGATCACGCATTTAGGAAACCACAGAGGTGGGCGTCTGTCTACCAGCAGTTTTACTCACTGTGTTCTTTCTCCTTCCTGATGTTTCAAGCTTCCTTACTATTTTCTTTCTGTTTAGAACATTCTGTAGCCATTCTTTTAGGGCAGGCCTGCTGGTGACAAATTGCTCTCTTAGTTTTTCTTCATCTGAGAATGTCCTGATTTATTTTTAACACCTGAAGGACATTTTCAATGGAATAGGCTTCTGGGTTAACAGTTTTTTCTCTCAACAGTGAAAAATGTGTCATTTCCTTGTGACCTTCCTGGTTTCTGATGAACAATCCACTGTCATTCTAATTTTTCCCCCTAAGGTGTCATTTTTTTCCAGCTACTTTCAAGATTTTTCCTTTTTCTTCTTCTTTGTGCTTCGCTTTCAAAATTGGAACATGGTATGTGTTGGTATGCTTTGTTGGGGGAGTTGTCCTGTTTGGGGTTCCTTCAGGTTCTTGACTCTGTGGCGCATGTCTTTTGCCAAATTTGCAAAGTTCTCAGCCATCTTAGGTACTTTTCAGCCCCCTCCTCTTTCTCTCTTCTTGTTTTACTCCCATGACGCAGTGTTACATCTTGTATCATACAGTCCCCTAGAGAATGAGGCTCTTTTTTTTTTTTCTTTTCTTTTCTTTTTTTGGTCTGCTTTCTCTCTGTTGTTCAGACTTGGTGATTTCTGTTGTTCTGTCTTCCAGCTCCATGCTGCTGTTGAGACCGTTTGCTGAGTTTTCATTTCGGTTATTGTATTTTTCAGTTCTAACTTCTCCTTTATCTCTTCTATTTTCTGAGATTTTTTTTTCATTTGTTTTAAGCGTGTTTGTTATGATCTTTTGAAGTATTTCTATATAGCTACTTTTAAATCATTCTCAGGTACTTTAAAAATCTCTGTCACCTTGGAATTGATGTCTGCTGATTGTATTCCATTCACTTAGAGGTCTTTGTGATTCTGACTATGCTGAATGACTTTTTTATTGAAACCTGAACATGTTGAGTCCTATGTCACGAGAACCTGTTATGAGGTGTTAATTTCTCTGTCTTACCTGGCTCTTGCTGACACTGCCCTGGTGGAGGGGAGGGGGCATGCACCTCGATACAGCCAAGTGGTGGGGACGTCCGGGTCCCCTGCTCCGCCCTCCTCACACTGAGGGGTGGGTGGGGGCTCCTCCTTCCTGCTGGTGGGGATGGGAGGTCCAGCCCCCATGTGACCTCCAGTGACACCACTGGGGGGAGGGGCATTCTCACAGCTGCTGCCAGCTGGTGAGAGTCCTGACACTGCCAGGGAAGGGACACCACCTTGTGGGAGTGGAAGTCCGAGCTCTCCTAGTGGTCTCTGCAGGGGGAGCACTCTGTCTCCCCACCAGGCCGTGACCACCTCTACCTGACAGGGGTGGGGGCTTCATTATAGCCTGGGTCGTGAAGGTGGGGTCTGGCTGGAGTAGAGTGGCTCCCGGCTCTCAGTGTCCTGTCCTGCTGGGCGGTGTGGTCCGTCTCCTGGTCCTTCAGCCAGAAAGAGCTACTTTTGTTGTTTTTCTTCCTGTGTCTGGCATTTCTTGTTTGCTGGCTTCCTTGGGTCCTTTTAAAATACACGCAGCAGAGAGAAAAAAGCCCAGGGAACACAGTGCTGTTGCCTCGGGCTTCCGGGCGCGCTGGTCTGCCCCGCCCGCTCTCAGCGTCACCTTCCCACGTGTGTGCTCTGTGCTCTTACCTGGTTCGGGCATACTTGGGGGAGGAACAGACAAGACGCGCCAGCTGCATCCTCCTGGAAGCAAAGTCCCTGATGGCTCGTTTCCTGGTTTTTCTTTTGAAAATGAACTTTCTTAGAGGGGCCAAGTGTGCCGGTGCGGAGGGGCTCCGGGAGACCACCAGGGAGCAGAGATCTGGGGCTGTGGGCAGGACTCATGTCCAGTCTGGCCCACAGGCAAGGGAGACCACCCTGGACCCCTGCCCCCAGCGGCCTGAGGACCGGGAGGGACATTCCTGCGAGCAGCGCTGGTGGGCGGCCTCACTGGTCGGGGTGGACGTGGCTCTGTGCAGGCCGTGGGGCCCCGGCCAGGCGACCTGGGCTGCCTGTCCTCCACCAGACTGCACTGTGCAGGACGTGCCTGCCTGCGCGGGTGTCCGGGAGGACTTGGCCCCAGAGCAGAGCACACGTTGCTGTCAACAAATTGATCACAGTGCCCTGGGGCAGATCGCAGAGCACTGGGTGTGCGGACTGCTGAGTGAGGGGACGGGCTGGGCCTGCTCCCGCCCCCGTGACCCCCGGCGCCCAGCCTTGTGTCCCCGCGGCCATTGAGTGGGGTCTGGTGTGTCCCGCCCTCACTTTGCCCTCTCTGTTCCAGTTTCTCGTCTACTTCATGTACTTCCTGGTGCTCTTTGTCGCCTACTTCTTCGCGGCCGTGCTGGTGGGGCTGCAGCACCTCCGACGGGGCAGCCACCAGCCCCTGCCGCCAGCCCAGGAACTGAGGAGCCCCGTGCAGGAGAAGGCCGTGCAGGACGGGGCCCTGGGCAGCCTGCAGCCCGGAGCCCGGCCCCTGGCCCCGGAGGATGGCGTGGAGGCCGTGGGGCCGGTCTCCCCAGAGCAGAGCCGGCAGCCCGAGGCCAAGGCCTGACCCTCACCCACCTGAGCTGCTCTCCTGGCCCGCCCGGGCCGCCAGGTTCCTGACGCCAGAGGCAGCCCGAGCTTGGGGTCTTGACCTCTCAGCCAACACGTGCCTGCAGCCGGGTTTTCGTCACCGTCCAAATTCCAGTGTTGAGATGGTGGAGCCAGTGACTGGCGGGCCCCGAGTGGTCTGTCCCCGTGGCCCCCACCTCGAGGGCCACCCACCTCAGCGGGGAGCCCTTGGCTGGTCCCGTGGCAGCCCGAGCCTGGCACCCCTCAGCCCTGGCTCTCACCCTGGCCGTGGCCCACCCGCGGCCAGGGATACTCGGCCAGCTGCCTGGCCACCACGGGCTAGTTTGCTGTCACTGCCTACACGCAGCCAGTAGTGGGGCTTCACGTGCCCACCAGGCCTCCCCGCCTTGGGAGGCAGGTCCCACTTGTCCTCAGGAGCAGGCAAGGTGGTCCCAGAAGGCAGCCTGGGGCCCTAGCCCCCCACAGGGTGTCCTGGACCCCGCAGGCAGGGGGAGAGCCCTGTTCCTGGGCTCATGGCTAAACTGAGATGTTTCTAGTCGTCCAGGTGCTTGCAGTTTAGATGATTCTCTGTTCCTTTTTTAAAAAACCTTGTATGAGAACCCTCGTTTGGAGTGTTTCTCGGGGAGAAGCCAACATGGCGGGTGGCGGTGTCTCCCGTTGGTGGAAAGCAGCCCAGGCTCCTTGGTCCCGCTCTTCCCCTCAGGCCCCCTGTCCCTCCTTCGCACCTGACGTGGGCTGACATGATCTGCCTCAGACGCCCAGAGGGGCCTGGCCGGTGCCAATGGGCACTGCCACGGGGCCTGGAGCCAGCCTTGCTTCCTGAGATGCAACGCAGCCTGCTTGTCCCCAGATGCGTCATTCGGGCTCCTGACTCCATGTGGCCCATCGGGAGGCCAGGAGAGGTCCCCGCCCCGCCCCCAGCCACAAGCAAGGACCCACACCCTGTCCTGAGCTGAGCCCTGCCTGTCCCATGACCTCAGCCCTTGTGCAGGGCAGGGTCCCCCGTACAGAACAGGTGCTGCGCCAAGTTCAGAGCAGGACCCTGGGCGGAGGAGGGGCTGCCGGACCGGGGTCCTCTGGGGTCGCCTTAGGCGAGGGGGGCATCTCGGACACCCGATGGGTCCGGAAGGAGGCCCAAGTCACGGCCAACGGTGGGGGCTGCGCAGGGCAGGTGCCCCCTAGGCTTGTGCATGCAGGCTTGCACAGCCACCCCAAGGCCCTGTGGAAAGGGGCCACGTGGAGTCCAGGGTCCCAGCTCCGCACCCCTCCATGCCTGGAAAGCTGGCGGGGCTTGATGGGGAGGGGGCTCGCCTCTGGCTGCTGGCCCCAGGAGGCGGGCTCTGCTCTGTGCCCCTCCCCCCTGCCCCCCCACCCCTACCCCACCAGCACCCTCCTGGCAGTGGGTGGTCGGCGCCGGGTCCTCCAGCTCCACCTGCTCCCTCTGCAGCCTCCCCACCACCGCCAGGGCCCCGCGCTCGGCCTCTGCCAAGCTGACGTTTCTCTTGCTTCCGAGCTCCTAGGGCATCAGTGCCCACGACCTCTTGGAGTCAGACATGTCCTGGGCCCCAGCGAGCTGCAGCAGCCGTGGGGGAAAGCGGCGCAGGGTCTGGGAGCCCAGGGTACAGACCATCTGCATGGCTCTGACAAGCCTGTGAAGACTGCTAGCCACCCCCAGGGAGACACTGAGAGAGAAGTGGCTGTGTGTAGGGCACATCCATGCACACGTGTGTACACCCATGTCTGTCTCATGCCGCTGTACACCTGCTCACATCTGTGCGCCTCTGTGTATACCCACGTACACCAGCACACCCCGCTGTACGTCGCACATCCGTGTGCCAGCGCCCCTACGTAATCTGTGGGTTCTACAGCTGAGGATTCAACCAACCACAGCTTGAAAATATTTTTTAAAAATTCAAGAAAGTTTCAAAAACCAAAACTTGAATTTGCCATGTGCTGGCCAGTAAGTACCTGGCCTTTACATTGTATTTACAACCATTTACGTAGCATTTTTATTGTATTAGGTATTGTAAGTAATCTAGAGATGATTTAAAGTGTATGAGAGGACATGGCAACAACATAAATGTCCATCTGAAATACTAAATACTAAATACTAAATACTAAAAGTAGACTTACCCTATGATCCAGCAATCCCACTCCTGGGCGTATACCCAGAGGGAACCCAAATTTGAAAAGACACCTGCACCCCAGTGCTCACGGCAACACTATTTACAACAGCCAAGACATGGAAACAGCCTAAATGCCCACTGACAGCTGACTGGATGAAGCACCCGTGGTGTATGTACACAATGGAACACTACTCAGCCATGAAAAGAATGAAGTAATGCCATCTGCAGCCACATGGATGGATCTGGAGATGATCATACTGAGTAAGTCAGAGAGACAAATATCATGGTATCACTTATGGGTGGTACAAAAAAAAAGATACAAATGACCTTGTTTACAAGACAGAAGCAGACTCACAGACACAGAAAACAAACTACAGTTACCAAAGGGGGAAAGGGGGAGGGATAAATTGGGAGTTGGCAGATACAAGCTACTGTGTACAGAATAAACAGGTCCTGCTGTCCAGCACAGGGAGCTGTATTCAATATCCTGTCATTAAACATAAGGGGAAAGAATCTGGAAACGAATATGCGTGTGACTGAGTCTCTTTGCTGCACATCAGAAACTAACACAACATTGTGAATCAACTAGACTTCAATTTAAAAAATTAGGAAAAAAGTATGTGGGAGGCTGTGTGTAGGTTATATGTAAATACCACACCGTTTTATATAAGGCCTTGAGCACCTGGGGTTTTGGCATCCACGGGAGTCCTGGAGTCAGTCCTCCACAGATACTGAAGGAGAGCTGTTTACCTGAACACCGTGCAAATCCACACGTAT